GACTCACCAGTCCAGCAGCAGCAGTGGTTACCCATGGTCAGGACTGCATGGGAGCACCACAGGGCATCCCCATTCCTCTTAGCTGCACTCCATTGGTGGTCACCTATAGGAACAGCAATTTTTTCATTGTGCTCTAGTGCGAGTTTAACAGGGCAAAATGAGCTCGATCTGGAGACGTTCAGGCTGCTTGAAATTTTTCAGGAATTCTCATCTGTTTTCTTTAATGTACAAAGCTCGTTTGTCAGCATAGCTAATACGGACATTGGTGATATCAGCAGTCTTCCCCTTCTCCTTGGAAGCTCTCCTCCTCTGTTATCATGGCTAATGAACCATTTTATGGCATATTGGGATTGCAGATTGACACTATTTAAGTACCGCTGTCAGATAAGAATGGCACATGCATTTTGAGAAATGAAGGTGACGGGCACTGACTGGAAGCTTTACTCTGCTGAGCAGTGGCTGCAAAGGCAAAGGAGAGCAGAGGTTCGGGGACCTGCAAGACCACATGAGCTGCCACGTCGGCCCGTGGCAGTAGTCAGAAACGTTATTCGTGTCTTCCATGTAATTTGCTTGCAGGTCTAAACGTCTGATAGAACAGCATGTGTCAGGCCACTGCAGGTAACAGAATGGCAGCATTTGGTCACTTTGCTTTGGTGTTTCAGCAGTGTTGTCCCATTAATTCTCAGGCCTCAGCCTGGGCGAGCACAGGGACCTGCAGGGCTGGGCAGGTCCCTTGTCTATGGGCAAGGCTTGCCATACATTGTACAAACAACCCTGCCGCAGGGCCACTGGGAGGAAAGAAACTTTATTAGGAAGGAAAACATGATTTTTATTGTTCTGAAAGAACAGTTGGTGGTGAAAGCGCCAACGGCGTGATAACACGTACAAGTTTGCGACCATGCAAACGGACGTGGTGACAAGCGGTGCCAAGGGTACAGGGGACTTTAGCCACAGAGCTGCAGAGGTGCCTCACACAGCGACAAATGGTCCTTTCTGTTGGCTGTGCTGGCCAGCCGGGTGTGGAGCACCACGGCAGCAGGCTGATGCTTGGTCACAAGGATTTGGGGTCCTGCCAATGCTCTTTTTGCAAAGGCAGAAGCAGCTGAGTGACAGGGGAGGGGCACAGGGGTGGGCTGCAGGTCCCGGAGCCCACGATGGCCAGCACAGGACCAGGCGCTGAGCACCTCACTGGAGGATGGTGAGGAGGAAGAAGAGGTGCGGTGATTGCTGCTCACAGGCACTCGCTATAGCCATGTTCCCCTGCATGTTTTTCCATCAGATGCTGCTACGTCTCCACGCCCATTTCTGTTGCCTGCTCTGGCTGCACTCAGCTGTCACAAGGCCTTCTCCAGTCCCATTGCCGGTCAAACCAATCCTCTTCTCCACCAGCCCCTTGCTATGATACCCTCTTCCTGGCCTCAGTCCTCTCGTATCCCCTCTTTACCATTCCCTTTCCCTGTCTCAGGTACGCCGCCAGCTCCTGAACCTGGGCTCTTGCCCTTTGCCTCGAGCTGCAGCCTGCTGGCCCCAGGTCGATGCCTCTGCTCCTCCCAGGCTGTGTCAGCATCTCCCCTGTGAAGCAAGAGAAGCAAGAAGCTGCTGTTCATTGCTGGGTTTCCACAGTAACAAAGAAAGCTTTATTTTTTTCCCCCCCTAAAACCCCACTGCCCCGCCCCAGTTTTGAGCTGTTATCTCCACCACCTCTTCCACGTTTCTGAAGACCCCAGAGATGATATGTTTATCCCTAATTTCCCTCTTGAGCTCTTCCATGCGCTGATGCATGAAAGAAGGTTCCCAGGGCTGGTGGTGCGCACATTTGCTGATCTGCTGCTGCACTTCAATCTATCTTTTACAAGGGATGCTGCATGGGGCCAGGTATGTAATTAACTGCTTGTGTGCTTGGGAGGGTTCAGGGAGCGCTGATGCCGTCCGGTTAAGCAATTGCATTACCGGTTCTGCAGGTAGTGTCCCCCCTCCCTTTTTTGGATGACGTGTGACAAAGAAACTGCACATTGACAAAGCCTAAAGGAATTTAGCAAGAGCCTTGCTGTGGTGGTTCTCAGAAAGGCGCCTCCTGCTATCCCGCAGAGCTGGAAAAACACGCACCCGTGCGCTGGGACTGGGGGGGTGGAGGAAGTCCTGCCACACGGTTTGAGGGGCTTGAGCAAACACTTCATCATCCCACGTTACATCTCCAGCTCACGGCTTGTTGCATCCATAAAGCTGTCTTCCCCTCAAGCTCAGACATGTCACAGCACTAAGAAAGGGTCCACGGCTCTGTGCTTCGTAATTTAGGCTTTGCATAAATAATTCGCTTGCAGTCTGCTACGCTGACTTCAGAAGGCTCAAGAAGGCTCAAAATCAGAGCTGGACTCATCAGGGTTAAGACATACTTGCATACATACACTTTCTGTAGCCAGCAGCACATGGAGGAGAGATGCAACCGGCGTCGTGGTTGGCCACCCCAGGCACTGCAGCCTGCAAGTCCATCAGTAGCCGGGTGACCCCCCAGCAGCCTTTGCTGTGAGATGTAAGCGGGGCACCAGCTCGCACGCTTGGCTCCCACAGCTCCGCGCTGCCGCTCCCCATTGCTGCTGCGTGACTCACAGGCAGCTCAAAGCCTTCCCTGATAAAGGTTTTGCAGAAACAAAAAGAAATACAGCAAACATGAAGTAATAGAATAATAATAATAATAATAATAATAATAATAATAATAATAATAATAAACCCTTCAAGAAAAGCCATTAGAAAAAATTCCTAACTTTTATTAACCAAAAAAGACAGTGTGATAGGATAAAAGCTGGGGCTGATTTTCTGTGTGAATTGCTGTGTTTCCAGTGCAATGTGTCCTCCTGAAGGAAGACTGCAAGTCTCAGTTCTTGTCAAATGTCTTTGCTGGAGCTGAGTGTATGATCCTTAAAGAAGCAGAGGAAAAGGGAGAGCCGTGTTTGGAGGGTGGCCAGCTAAACAACCGGTGAAAAGGCAGGCACAGTCCTGGGCACACCGAATAGGAGAAAAACTGGGGAGAAAGAGGCGTATTTTGCCAGCTGCACTCCCAGTTATTTAGCCTGCAGCTGCAGCTGGGGGTAGGGCGAGCAGTACGTAGGGCGACCGCAAGCTCACATCCACTCAAGGTAACTCATTTTCTCATTACTGAGAAATGTGATGCTGACAGTGCCCTGCAGGCAAACACAGCACTGGTTTCGGGTCATCCCACCAGGGCTGCTTGCTACAAGGCTGAGTGTTTCCACT